ATTTTTCCCCCAAAGCCCCAGTAGATAGTTGTATGTCATAGTTGCGCATCCTTCTAGTTGCTGTATGTGGGACACGGCCTCAGCATGGCCGGAGAAGCGCTGCATCGGTGCGCGCCCGGGATCCGAACCCGGGCAGCCAGCAGCGGAGCGCCTGCACTTAACCACTAAGCCATGGGGCCGGCCCCATCCTGTGTGTTTCTGACTGCCAGTTCGGTTTGGTGGTTCTCCGTGATGGTTTTTCTCAGTTTTCTCTTTATTTATCATTTGTATCTGTATTCTCATTTTTCTTTTAGTGGTTACTATGAGGTTTGTATAAAAGATCTCTTAGGTGAGATAGTCCATTTTCAGATAGTCTCTTTTTTCCTTAGTCTAAGAAGGTCCACCCGTTTCCTCTTCCCCATCTAAGTTATTATTGTCCAACTTATTCCGTTTTGTGTTGTGAGTTTGTGATTAAAATGAAGTGATTGTCGTTATTTTTGATGCTTTCATTCCCTTTATCTTTAGTGTTATGATTCTTTGCTAACCTGTTCTGATAGAGAGCTGTATTTTTCTGATTTTGTCATTTATTTCCTTGCTCAAGCCTTTGTAAACCCTCTCTTGTTTTTTTCAGGTATCAGGGCTTTCTTGATCATTTCTTATGGGGGGGTCTTGTGGCAATGAACTCTCTCAGTTTTTATTTATCTGGGAAAGTTTTTATTTCTCCATGGTATGTGAAGGATAGCTTCGCTGGATAGAGTATTCTTGGCTGAAAGTTTTTGTCTTTCAGAATTTTGAAGATATCATTCCACTCTCTCCTAGTCTGTAAGGTTTCTGCTGAGAAGTCTGCTGAAAGCCTGGTAGGAGTTCCTTTGTAGGTTAGTTTCTTCTGCCTTGCTGCTCTTAATATTTTTTCTTTGTCATTGACTTTTGCCAGTTTTACTAATATATGCCTTGGAGAAGGTCTTTTTACATTGATGTAATTAGGAGTTCTGTTATCTTCATTTACCTGTAATTGTAGCTCTTTCCTCAGGTTTGGGAAGTTCTCAGCTATTATTTCTTTGAACAAGCTCTCTGCTCCTTTCTCCCTCTCTTCTTCCTCTGGAATACCTATATTCCTTACATTGCATTTCCTAATTGAGTCAGATATTTCTCGGAGAATTTCTTCATTTCTTTTTAGTCTTCGTTCTCTCTCCTCCTCCATCTGAAGCATTTCTATATTTCTGTCCTCTAAATTACTGATTCTGTCCTCCATTATATCAGCCAACAGATCTGATTTTTATTCCTGGTTTTGCCACTTATTAGCTGAGTAACATTGGGTAAATTACTTACCTGATAATAGTATCTCTTAAAGGATGTGGTGAATATAAATGAGATAAAGTATGTAAAACATGGCACAATGCTTGGCATATGGCAAATGCTGAGTAAATAGTAGCTGCACTTTATATTAAGAAATAGAACAGAGGGGACTGTAGCTTCACAGGGGGTTCTGAGAAGCAATGTGGTATCCTAGAAAAATTACAGTCATAAAACCTAGTTTCAAAACCTAGAATTAAATCTCGGATTCTTTGTCTTTATAATGAGGTTAATTGAGTTCTACATTACTAGGTTGTTGTGAGGATAAAATGGGATTAATATCTGTAGAAGTGCTTGGTAAACTGTAAAAGTTCATAGAACTTTTACATAGAAGTTCAGATAGTATTATTAATATTTCTGAAATGTCTTTAGTTGTCAAGGGTAGATGTTATAAGTGGAATGTTAAAATATTCATTGTAAATTATGACTAGAATTGTTTAGAATGGCTGCCATCAAGTCTATAGAAATTAGGTAGTATTTTTCTATGACGTTTAAATTTCAAGCTCTTCATTTATTTTTGCCTCTGTCGATATATTTGTATATATGCTTATCACCTAATAAATTGCTGAGTAGTTAATGTTGCAGAAACTTGAGGAAATATAAGAATTTTTCTATTTTCTCTCTTCCTTCCAAATTGTGCATTTAGTGAGTCCAACATCACACAAGAATCACCTTTTACATCAGCTGACACTGGGAATTCAAGGTCTGCGTTTCCAAGTTATACAGGCACAGGGATCTCTACTGAAGGCAGCTCGGACTTCTCCTGGGGATATGGTGTGAGTTGTATGTTATAGGTCTGATGAAGTGCTTGGCAGACTATTCTGGAAGTTAGGGTTTCTCAGTTTTGTCAGTATATTTGATTCTTCACTCTCCTACATTGTTTCTTTATATTTTAATACTTAAATTTACCACACTTTATAATAAGTGTAAAGAAGCATCAGTCTTCACCCTCTTTCAGTATTTGCTTTGTTTTATGGATATGGTACTTGATCCTTAGAGATGCTTAGTGTTTGACTTAAACAGTTGCGGATTAGTATGGATCTGGGCCATTGGATCTACTCCTTTTGCTGTGTTTAGTCAACTAAGGTGTCTCTCCACCACTAATGTTACCTTGTTGTTTAAAATGTTTTTGAAAGTTTATTATTAAGTTTATAGTCTGGGAGAATGTTTATGGTATATTGCTAAATGAAAAAAACAGGTTAAAAATAGTATGTATAGTGTGGTTCTAATTTTATTTTATAAAAATTTGTGCTTATATATTAGCAAATAGGCTAAAGAAATTTACACAAAATGTTATTCAGTCATTAATTGGGTGTTGAGATAATGAGATTTATTTACTTATTTATTCATTCATTCATTTATTTATTTATGGCTTTCTCCCATTATCAAATACTATTTTTAAAAGACCAACAACTTTAAAAGAAAATTTAAAAGAAATTTTATGCATGTTTATCACCTTGATGCAATAGGTATTTTTATTTCTGTATCCTCTTTCAATCTATATTTAATTTGGTCTAGTTATAATCATGGTGTACATACTCTATTATACTCTGTTTTTTCACTTAATATTACTTTGTAAGCACTTTTCCACAATCCTAACTTTATATAATATTGTTGTTAGCAACTTGCTTTCTTAACAAAAAGCCTGCTGGTTGTTAAAACCTATTCTTATCACCATGAATTATTTTTCAGTCATTTTAATTTGGATGCATGTATACTTTCCTTACATCATTGTACAATATATGTGCATCCTATTTTGTGGTCTGCTTTTTCATTCATCAGTATTTTATATAGACATTGTCTTTTATTACTTCCGTACCTGTCAATTTGAATAGTTATATGTAGTTATATTTCCTAAATTTTAATATAATCATAATTGGAGCTTTCCCTTATTAGCTGATACTTGGGTTTTCAGTTTTTCTTCATTCATTCAAAAATATTTATTGAGCACATTTATTGTGAGATACTGTACTTGGGAATATGGGGTAAGTGTGACTTAATGTGATTCAATAGTCTAATTAGGGAGATTGACAAAAGCAAATAAAATAACTACAGAAGGTGATAAGTGCTCGAAGGAAGAAGACAAAGTGCTGAAATAGAACATTATAAGAGAGATTCACTTTAGATAGAGTTATCAGGTAGGGTAGATCTGAGACTTGAAGATTGAAGAGTTAACCATGTGAAGAGTGAGGAAAAGAGCTTTCCAGACTGGTAACCAGGAGCATATGCAAAAGCCCTCATGGAGGAAAAGAGCTTCACATGTCCAAGGGAAAGTGTTTGGTGTGTTCTTGGAACTGAAAAAAGGTCAAGGTAGTTGGAGGATGGTGTACTGGAGGAGAAAAGAACAAATGAGATTGGAGAGATAGGCAGGACTAGATCATGTAAGGCATTGTAGGCCGTGGTAAAGAATTTAAATTTTAGCCTAAGGGAATGAATGAATTAATTTGATGGCTTACTGTAAGGTTTTAGTGTACTGACTATATATTTCCATCAGTTGTCTCTATGTTGTAATTAGTATCTCTTTATAAGTTATGAATGTCATACAAAGTTTCCCATTCCCTTGCTTTCCTTTTCATTTTTATTATGTAACAGATTTTTTTTTTTAATATTCAAATATAATTATCTCACTTTTGACCTTCATTTCTTTTTTTTTTTGGTGAGGAAGACCAGCCCTGAGCTAACATCCGATGCCAATCCTCCTCTTTTTGCTGAGGAAGATCGGCCCTGGGCTAACATCCATGCCCGCCTTCCTACACTTTATATGGGACGCCACCACAGCATGGCTTGACAAGCGGTGTGTTGGTGCACGCTGGGGATCCGAACTTGCGAACCCCGGGCCGCTGCAGCGGAGCACGCGCATTTAACTGCTGCGCCACTGGGCCAGTCCCCTGACCTTCATTTCTTTATTAGTCAGAATTTTATCTTTAGAAAGATAGAATATTATAATATTTTTCTTCATAGCTTTTTAATAGAATTTTGCACGTTTAGGTTTTTAACTCCTCAGACTTTTTTATAATATATGGTGTGAGGTATGAATTAAGTTCTTATGCTGTTGAACCTCTTTTGTTTGAACCATATTTCTGTGTTTAACTTAATATCATGTGGTTTTCATGATATTTTAAAAATCTTTTGGGCAAATCTACCAGTGTTCATTAAACAACATATTTAGTATTTGTGTCCTCTTTACTCTTTCAGATAAATTTTATTTTCGCTTGGATCAAATTTTATCAAATATTCATCAGGGATTTATTTCGTATTGCATTATAACTTTATATTAAATTAGGGAAGGTGTAGAGAGAACTAAAATTTATTGAGTATTTAGTAGATGCCAGGCACTGTGCTAAGTACTTTCTATACACATTTCAATCATTTGTCATCTTAACTGAACTTAGTATTCTAGCTAGAAATATAGTTCTTTTATTTAGATCTTCCTTTAGTCTTCTTTATCATTTTATTATTTACTTTGAGTAAATCTCTTGTTGTAAGTTACAGTTGATATTAAAATTGAATTTAGTATTTAGTTATACATTTTACTTACTTTTGAACAGTCTTAGTGTTTTTGAGCTGTCACTGGTATGTAGGAATACAGTTTTCCCCCCAATTTAATTAATGGCCTACTACTTTGCTAAATATATTTATTATTTATAATCATTCTGGAGTTTATATTCTTAGGTTTATTTCTTTTAAAATAATATTTTAAAATTCAACATTAATATAATGATGTGAAGGAAGACTTTCCTTTTTTATTCTAATTATGTGTATTATTTAAAATTTTATAGCCAACTATCATAAAAATAGCTAACCCAATTCTGTTCTATTTTAGTTTTATATGCTTTGAGTTGATTTTTTTTTCCAATAATCAAGTAGAGTTTATTCTAGGAATACAAAGATGGATTAATATCTGCAAATGTATTAATATGTTTAACATCAGTGAATTAAAGGAAAAAATATGATCAAACTAATAGATGCTGAAAAGATATTTGATAAAATTCAAAATCATTCCTTATAAAAATTCTCAATAAGATAGAAGGAAACCCTTGAAACTTGGTAAAGACAATTTGCCAGTTGAATGGCAAATAGTTTAAATGGCTAAACACTAAATAAAGCTATTTCAATTAAAATAAGGAAGCAGGGAGTTCTTTATTAACAAATTTAATTGATTCCTTTCCTAACTTTGTACATTTTAATTATTTTTACATAAAGTTTGTCATTTTATACTCTGTTCAGTGCTATCTGTTTTTCCACCTAACAATATATTTTGAATGTCCGTATTATAAAAGACTTCTTTGTTCTTTAATGGCTGCATAGCCATTGCTACTATAAAAAAATGTGTCATTTATAACCTCATATATATATATTATTTTACATAAATGTGTATATATCTGAGGATAAATTTCTAGAGGTGGAATTGCTGGTCAGAAGATATGTGCTTTTATAATTTCGAAAGCCATTGCCAAATTAACCTCTGTAGAAGTTATTCCAATCTGCAGTCTCACCAGAAACATATGGAAGGGCCTGTTTTCCAACACTCTTGACCAAAACAGTGAGTTATCTAACTTTTAAATCTTTGCCAGCCCTTTAGGTTTAAAAAATGATGCCCGATGCAATTTGGGGGTTGGTTAGAAAAAAAATTTGTACAACTTACAGAAAATTGGGTAACTTACATATTTTGTGTGTGTGTGTGTGTGTATGAAAACAGTACCCAGATCAAGATATAGACAATCAGCACCCCACAAGGCTCCTAGGTACTGTCTACCAACCCCAAAGATACTGTTCTGACCTCTATCACCAGTTTTGTGTGTTCTTGCTCTTCATATAAATGGAATCATACAATATGTATTCTTTGTGTCTGGCTTCTTTTGCTTAGAATTATGTTTGGAGAGTTCATACATGATGTTGCACATATTTGTAGTCTGTGAATTGCCTGTTTATATTTCATATTTTTTTATTTATCATTTTCATACTAATTAGTAGGAGTTCTTTATCTTTTAGATTAGGAGTAGGTGTACTTTGTCTGTAAAGGACTAGATAGTAAATATTTTAGGCTTTGCAGGCTCTGTCAGGACCCTCAACTGTCACTGTAGTGAGAAGGCAGCCATAGACAATGCATAAATAAATGGGTGTGACTGTGTTCCAATAAAACTTTATTTACAAAACAGGCTGTGGGCCAGATTTGTCCCATTGGCCAGTTTGCTGACCCCTGTTCTAGATAGTTGTAACAGAGACTATTATCTACCTACATTATATCTACTCTCCTTATAGAACTACAGAACTTTGGGTATTGTACCCAGTTGAAAATTTATTTCCCAGCCTCTGTTACAGGTAGGAGTAGCTAATGAATTATACACAAAAGTCAGGAGATAAGGCTTTCTGGAATGCGTTTTTTCCTATTTACTCCTTTTCTCCTAATTCCTGCCTGGAACATGGAACTATGACCAAAGGTACAGCAGCCATCTTGGACTATGAAGCATCATTGAAGATGGAAATGATAGAAGAAACTGAGTCCTTTATATCCACAGAACTACCATATCAGCTTTTGAATGCCTACCACTAGACTAATTTTTTTATGAGAGAAAAATAAACTTTTATCTTGTTTAAGCCACTGTTACTGTTTTTGTTAGAGTAACCGAATGCAATTCATCACAATACACTCATCCTTTATTAAATGTATTGCAAATATCTTTTCCTGGTATGTAGCTTTTATAACTTTCACAGTTTTCACATTTAAGTCTTTAATCCACTTGGAATTGTTTTTTGTACAGGCATACCTCGGAGA